TTTTACAATTCTTTATCTTTTTCATAAAATCTAACATTATTTTCAAACCTTTGAATTTCTTAACAAACCCTAATTTAGTTTTAGGTTTTAATTAAAATCAATCCTAATTTAGTTTTTTAGGTTTTCAATAATTAACTCTTTTATAATTAAAATCAACTTAGGGTTTTGCTTAATTTAATTAACTTTTTTTAATTAATTAAAATCAATTAGTTTTTTAGGTTAATCATCCAACCTTTTTTTTCCTATCAAAATCACAAAACAATTTCTTTTCCCATTTCTTTTATTTTACAAGTTCGCCTATTTTATTACTGTCACATGTTTCATTATCTCTTCCAATTATGTACCTACTTACAATTTGTAATAGTTTAATTAGGGTTTTTCTATTCCCCCCCCCCCCCCCCCCCCCCCCCCCCCCCCCCCCCCGATTTTTACTATTTTGTACCCCCACTCCCGAAGCCTTGTAATAGCGTAGAATTTTATTTCTTGCACTTTACTGTTTTTCATTATTGTCATATTATTATGCTAGTAATTAGGGTTTGCATGGCAAGACATAAAAACAATAAGAGAAAACCTTAATTGCAAGATAAATAAACTAAATTAAATCACTTTTCACACTCGCACCTCTAGGGTAACCTCACTCGTTGCCTCAGAAAATAGTCATGTCCGTCGAACGTGGGGACACTTTAGCAAAGACCCTTGGTTAAAAAAACCGTATTCCCTCGACGACCCTTACGATGTTGCCTTTGATAAATGGTCTTAGTCCCTTACGATAAATTGCTAAAACACCCTTACGAGTTGCCTTTATGACTGTACGATGACCGCGCCTATCCCTTCATATCCAACGATAGGGCTTCCTACTAACTAATTGTAGAATAGCACTATCTAAAGGAGGAGAAAAAATAACACAAAATACTTTTGAGTAGGTAGATAGTTCTTAATCGCTTGCTCGCGAATATTTCAAAACATCTCTTTCACAAACACTTCTCTGAAATATTTTCTTCTCTGGCATGAGTAAGTAGAATGTCTAGTGTAATGTTATGACATCCTTGACTCAGCTTTCCTTTTGATAACAATAACTTTTTTTCACTTTGAGTTTTTCTCTTTGTAAAACATCTTAGAAGAAAAATGTATCCTCCTTAAACTTCCAATCATCTCCCCTTTTGAAGAAACTCCTCCATCTGATCTGGAACATCCTTACAAACTTGATCAACATATCAGGTTTTAGGATAAAATGGAGTCACATCTCCTAGCAAAAAAATAGAGTAGATACTTCTTCATAAGATCAGAAATGAATATCCTCTTATTTCTTCACAGTTGAAGAGTCCCTTTATTCTAGATACAAATCATAGAAACAAACTTCCAGCTCATTATTAGATAAATCTTCAGTTCAGAAATCTTCATAAGTCCATCTTCCAGTCAAACCAGATATAGAAAACCAATATAGTTTCTCTCGAGATAAGCAGTGCACTCTGCTTCACAAAGATCCAATATCTCCACATCCATATGAATGCTTTGTTATTGATAGACCTTTTGCTCTAATTTCAGCATTCGTTTTAGCATCATGGACATGTTGAAGTTAGTGCAGATGTCCTTGACATTTAGTTTAGACACTCTGTCTAATCTCCTCAACTCCTGATTGGATCACTTTCCAAGGAACATAATAGAAAAAAAGAAACCTTTTTATTAGAAACCAGAACCTAAGCTCCTTTAGAGTTGAAAGAAAAAATAAATTACACTTGTCTTTCTTCAATAGCTTGTCACTTTTGTGTCAAACCTCTAGAGTAGAGACTTGAGATACTTCTTCTTGATTAGCCTCACATTTTAACCTTTTCTTCCAAACACACTTAGATGTTCCTTTATGAGTGGACTTGAGAAATTCTCAAGTATCGTTGGCCCCAATTCAAGTGGTGTACAGTCTGGAATAAAACACTTATCAACTTCAGGATAATGGCATTGATAACTAATCTTCTCTCCTATCTTCCAAACTCCAGGATTCTTCAAAGCTGATACTATTCACACTTCTATTGTCCATTGACAACCAGAATGGAATCACTCCAGCATTCCCATAAGACAAATAGCACAAGAGTTATATCTCCATGAAATCTCACCCAATGAACCAGGGTGTCTACCCTGATACCAATTGAAATTTTGGCACAGGCAACACATACAACCAAAATTGTCTTAACAACAGAACATGTCGAGATAGATGTTACAACATCTGGTAACAAACCAGATAAATCAAGCTGAATATAAGATAGAAAATAAGACTGCAGAAAGATAAGTAACACATGAAGATGATAGCCGAGTTCTGTGCAACGTCACCTACTCTGGGGGCTACCAAGCCAGGAAGGAAGTCTACTTTCATCAGTATTAGTTCAAAGATAAACTCCCACATTTATAACTTATTTACTAATCCCTACCCAATGCTACTTCTATCTAGGTCCTCCCTAGATATGAGAAATCTCCATCCCTCTTCTAATCACCACAGTGATAAAACACATATCCCAGTCACAGGGGATTTCTATAAAATAACTCAAACTAGAAGATCATTCTTCCATTACAATAAATCAAACTCTTTCTTAAAATCTTCGAGTGAGAACAACACTCAATTCATTGCCTAAAGGCTTCTGAGTGAGGACAATAACTTGAGTAACAGTTAAGCAATAATCAGTCGACTACATAGTATCAGAAGATACATGGGTGGCTTACAAACTACATAAGAGACTCTCAAAACCTAAGACTTATGCTTCCCCTAATTTTATAATTGTTGAAAACCTAAATTACATTAGGTTAGGATTGTCCTTTAAATACACCTCTGCAGTCCATGGGCTTCGATATTCTGAGTCTAGAAGTTTCTTGATCCATAAGGTAAGTGATGCACCTTTTGTGCAACCAATCTCCTTAAATCTTGGAACAAACCAATACATAGTTTCCTAATTTGTCTTCAAGGTCCAAATTAGTATCTTTTGTACAACTGGAGATGTAATCTGTTTCAAAATAAATCTTTAAGACTTGCAAGAATATCTGAGACAAATCCCAAAAGAAATTTCCCAAATAAAAACAAATTTGTGAAGATTTATTACAACAACGCCTTGACTACTACACCAGAATATTATATTATGAAAATAATGTCAATTCCCTAAACCATGGTACTAACACAAGTCATACTCGCACATTCACGTCATAATATCACTTATACATCTTCCGTCATAAAAACCATCATATAATCACATAATTATCAAATACCATCATATCACATATCATTAACATAACTAATACAAATGCAACATAAAATGTTAATGCAACAACACTGACTTAATACATGTGGTATCAAGATTTATGATCACCTGGTTCATCACCCTCCATGATTCCCACCATAGAATTGATCCCCTCTTGGAACCGAAGCACATCACAAACTCACTCAATCTGCATAATAGGATTATGGCTCATCACAAACGGGCCACCATCCAAAAATTCCATGAATGCATGATGCACAACAATGTCACTTACAAGTTCGACCATGGTTAGACAATTGCATAATCATTCACATAATCATATTCACATAACATGTATTACATATAGTTAAACATGTACATCATTAAAACATCATCACGAATAACATCAATTACATCACAACAACATCATAGCAAATTCACAGCAACATTAAGTTCATCATTAAAAATAGAACATCTTAGCATATTAAGCATTTTCTAATTCAATCTCATAAATACATAGGTACTTGAATAATGCATCAAATAACACATAATTCTTTCATAACATAGTTTTGCATGTCAGCTTCCTAACGCTTTAAACGACGCGTTAAATAGAGTCTTGAAACTCAAGCTACAACCTTTGAAAGTTACTTCCAGATCTGCTCGCTTGATGCTCGCTTGACGATCCTAATGGCGTTCTCCTCGCCTTCTTCTCACCGAACACTCTCCCGGCGAAACGAGCCATTGGGTCCATCCTTCCTTTGCTTGCCCGACGAAGCTCTGGCGACATCCCCTCCTCATACATTTTCCAGGAGCTCACCTTTTTCACAAACCCTCTCACCTTTTTCAAATCTTGGTATATTTTTCAATATTTTTCTTTGTTACTAACTTTATTTCTATTTTAAAAATCACAAAATTGTATTTTTTTTTTACTATTCTAATTTCAATTTATGTTTTTATTTTAAGATATTTTTTAAATAATTTTTATTTATTTGTTTTATGCACTTTTTATAAAAGAGTCCAAAAATCTAAAAAAAATATGTAAGATCTTTTCAAATTCAATTATTTTCCATTTTTACACCACCTTAGTCCCTAAGTTTCCAATTAAAATAAATCACTTTCAATCATTCCAAAAATAATCAGTCAACCTTGATCTCTGAAACCTAATTTTTCCTATACATACCTAGATTTTTTTTTCAAAAAAGGGAGCAATTTTCACACTCACATACACTTTATACTTACACAGTAGAAAAAAAACCTACACTCCCTCCCTCACACAAAAATATAACGGTAAATATTTCACCAGAGGTTATTCACACATTCTAACAATTTTTCCATTCTTTCTTTATACTGTATATTCATAACGGCACACTCACTAAAAAACCATTTTCCAAAAGCACACGTACATACACACAATTTGGCCAATCCTTATTTTCATTCAAAACAATCTATAATCTGAAATTGTCAACATCCTCCTTGATTCAAAACTCTCCAACAGACATCCATAAACATAAACCAAGTTTTTCTCAATTTTTTTCACAATTCATCAATAAACTTTTATCAATATATAAAAGACAACTCTTCAAACAACACAAACCCTAAAAAAAACCACAATAATCATCACCACAATTTTGATTTCAATTTGTAAATCTCTTCGAACCAAATTGTTCTAATTACAACAACATCCAACATGATAATCCTTCACAACCATTTCACAAGAACAACAACCCCATGAAGTCTATACGAGCAATTCTAAACAACGGCATCACCCACTTCGATCTTCTCATTTCATTGCAAGTGATTTAGTGATTTTTTTTTGCAAGTTTCTTTTTCATGTTGATGCTGCAGGCTCTGATTGAGAGTCCGTAGTTTTGTTCCGCAAGCTATCACTAAGGAAGCGAATTGATTCACTCTCTTTAAAACACAGCAACAATCAAAGAAGTTCTGAACATCGAAGAGGAGGAAGAAGAAGATTAACACAACTCCATCAACAGCCACTGCGCGGTGCTTCCATCCATGGCCGACGACACTCTCTGCCTCTCTGCCTCTCAGACCAGCCATACTCATGCAGCTACGAACTAGCACCTTCGAAGCCACCGTACGGTGCACCTCAATCTGCAGCCAACCTCCCGACAGATCTTGCACATCCACCATGTACGACACCAGATTACCGATGTGAAGCCCTTATTCGCGATGACAACCACCACAGCTCGCAAACCGCGATGACAACCATTGACGTCCACTCCTCATGCCGTCAGATTGCGCCCCACATCCCGACGAAGTCACCATGTGTTGGTTTCGGATTTTAAAATATTTGTCACCGAAGAAATTACCAGGTTGAGTCGCAGACTAGGTCGCTCTTTTTAAGACGTTTCACGGCACTGCTCAAAATTATGCAAAGCAGTCGAACTACCACGCTGCCTCCAAGATAAAACAGTCCAGTTCTATACTGTACGATTACTACTTGCATGATAGATAATCGGTCTAGACATACACCCTCTAATGGTACAAGACCATTCAAATATGGTATCAACACCACTCGTAGTATCTGGTACAAAGACCAGTCATAATAATTTCTCAAACAAAAAGAAACTCAAATAATTCTCCAAAGAGAATATAATAATGGTCATTTGATCACTCATAATAATTTCTCTAACAAAGAGAAATTCAAATAATTTTTCAATAGAGAATTCAAAAGATAAAACTTGAAAATTTCTCAACTCAAATGAGGAGAAATTAACACAATTCTCTAAAGAGAATTCAAGAAAATACTCGGAAAATTCAACGAGTAGGAAGAAAGGGGAAGAAGATGGCGCTTCGATAATTCGAGAGACACAGAGTTATGAGAGTGAGGAAGGAAAAACTAATAGAGTAGTTTTTGGTGTGATTTGGAATGAAATATGTGCACTCCTTATATAGTGAAGTAATATAGTTAATATTTCTCACATGAGCAATGTGGGACTAAATGGTTTTTTCAACCAAAAAGATATTCTAACAATGTGGGACTTGAGAAATTTTTAAATTCAACATATTGAAACATGGACATGTTCCAACAATCCCCCACTTGAATTTAAAAAATTGATTTTAGAAGTAACGTCAAACGTTTCTAAGATTGTGCATAAACAAAGGTGTCTACGACTTGAACCTTTGCATAGCGAGTAAGATTCCAATTCAATAAGAGTGACACAAATGTCTTGAACTCTATCTCAGACATCAAACCCGCACACAACCTTTTCTTAAGGTGTATTCTAATAGCCCGTGCTTTAATGGCCCTGCACGTGTATCCCAGTTTAATGAAGGCTCTAGGAATTCTGTCTCGAAATTCCATAGGAACCGGCCTAAGTTCCACAATCACATAGGTGAGTCTATCAAGAGTACTCATGTAGCCTAGGTACTCCCTCATACAGAGTATAGATCTCATTAAGAGTTTCTATTATCTCATCCTCTTATTACTTCAGGATTCATGCTTTACTTGCATGATCATCTCATATTACTCATAACTTGTTATTACCCATTGAACCTATTTCTTGGGATCTCCAGTCATTTAGGTCGGGTTACCATCATGAGCAACTCATTTTCCTATAGGTATTAGTCCCATCTTATATGATGTATTATAGACTTTCTCTCTAGTTAATCCTTTCGTCAAAGAATCTGCTAAATTTTCATCAGTGCGTACATGATCCACTCTTACAGCTCCTTTAGAGATACAATCTCTAACAATGTCGTGCTTTCTTCTTATTTGACGTCTTTTACCATTATAATAATAGTTCTCAATTTTTGCAATAGCCGCGATACTATCACAATGGATCAACACAACTGACATATGTTTTTCCCATAAGGGAATCTCAGTTAGCAAGCATCTTAACCAACTTGCTTCTTCACTAGCAGTCGCTAATGCTATATTCTCAGGATAGTATGTTTCTTTGATTTCCAAGATACAACTCCTCTAGCTATGTTGAATACATAGCCACCAGTTGCTTTGGAATCATCTAATAAGGTATTCCAATCTGCATCATTGTATCCTTCAGGTACAATAGGAAATCTCTGATAATGTAAACCGAGATTCATGGTCCTTTTAAGGTATCGTATGACTCGCTCAATAGCTTGCCAATGTTCATTACTCGGTCTACTAGTAAACCCGCACAACAATCCCACGACATATGCAATGTCAGGTTTAGTACAATCAATGGAATACCTAAGACTTCCAATGATGCTCGCATGTTCTGTTTGTCTAACACTTTCACCAGTGTTCTTAAACAGCTTCACGCTTGGATCATTTGGTGTGCTCACAGGTTTACTGTCAAAGTGATTATATTTCTTTAAGATCTTTTTCACATATTGTGATTGATCCAAAGAAATTCCTTGCTCGGATTTTGTGATCTTGATACCAAGAATCACACTCACTTCTTCGAGGTCTTTCATATCAAAGTTGTTGCACAACAACGATGCCATATCATTAATGGCCTGAATGTTTGATCTAAATATGAGTAGATCGTCTATATATAGACATATGATAGTGCAAATACAATTCTCAAATTTGTAATAAATGTATTTGTCACTTTTATTCACTTTGTACACATTCGATATCATTAAGTTATCAAACTTTACATGCCATTACTTTGGAGCTTGTTTTAGCCCACACAAAGACTTATATAACTTACGTACCTTGTTTTCTTATCCATAGATCACAAACCCTTTCAGTTGTTTCATATAGATTTCTTCTTCCAAGTCACCGTTTAAAAAAGTTGTTTTAACATCCATTTGGTGTACTATTAAGTTATAAATAGCAGTTATTGAAATAAGTACCCTAATGGATGTAATTCTAGTGACAGGAGAAAAGATGTCGAAGAAATCTATATTTTCTCTTTGTCTAAAACCCTTGGCAACAAGGCGAACCTTGTATTTATCAATAGTTCCATTAGGTTTTAGTTTCTTTTTCAAAACCCATTTACAATCGATTGGTTTGCAACCAGGAGACAAGTCTACTAAGTGTCAAGTCTTGTTAGATTCTAGAGATTTTATCTCATCATTGATAGCTTCTTGCCATAAATAAACATCCAGAGATGACAAGGCTTCTTGAAGATTCATTTGATCTTCTTCTACATTATAAGCCGCATAATCAGGCCTATAGTCTTTAGCAACTCTTACTCGTTTACTTCATCGAAGTTCTGTTTCTACATTATCATTGCTTTCTGTGCTTCTTATCACAGGAATGTGACTCGATTATGTGCCCCACTATTTCTCAATTTGAAAGGAAATCTGTTTTCATAGAATTCAACATCATTTGATTCTATGATCACTTTTGCCTTTAGGTCATAAAACCTATATACTTTACTGTTTGCTGCATACCGAATGAAAACACATTCATATGCTCTACTAGCGAGTTTAACTCGTTTCAGATTCGGAATTCTAACGTAAGTCAGACAACCCCAAGTTCTCAAATAAGACAAGTTTGGTTTTCTTTTCTTTAATATCTCATAAGGAGAGATCTCACATTTTGACTCGGGGACTCTATTCAGGACATAGCAAACAGTCAATAAAATTTCCCCCCACCAGTGAGGTGCAGCACCAAAATTCATCATAATTGCAACAACAAGTTCAGTAAGAGTTCTATTATTTCTTTCTATTTTACCATTCATTGCAAGATAGTATAGTGCAGTCGTTTCATGTACAATTTCATGTATAAAATTTATTAATAAACTAGAATCATACAGTTTATCTATCACTACAAATTCTTATTATATCATTTTCAAATTCTTTACAAAAAATTTAAACATATAAACTTCATTCTTCGTAATGGCGTATAAATCTACCCCAATAGACTGACTAAACCATGTCTTATTTAAAAGAAAACCAGAAACAATATTCTTTCTAATCTTAGGAACATGCATAATGTTCCTTAAGATTAAAGTCTTTTTGAAGGTGAAATTTAGCTCTATGTCTACAATTTCAGCAACATTCGTGGTCTGGCCATCTCCCAACAACACTTTCTTATCTTTAGTATTCGTGTATGTTTAAACACAACACGATCATAACAGACACAACGAGAGACGCAGGTGTCTATCCACCAACCAACATATCCATCAACCATGTTGATTTCAATGGTCATAGCAATAAATTGCCCATTAGTCAGGTTGACCTGTGCATTAGGGACAACACCAAGTTCAAACTTACTTCTATATTTCTTAGTCATATGACTTGATTTTCCATAATTAAAACAAAGGGAAACCAACGTCATTTCTTTTAGGTGGTGGTTGTTTCCTAGTTGGAGCTATTGGGATCGTAGAAGGATTCTCATTCTTTATTCGGTTCACAATATTGCAGTTCTGATTCTTTAATCATTTGCCAAATGACTTCAGAACTACACTGAATTTCTTTTTGTTGTTTGAAACAACCAAGACTTTTTATTTTTGATATTGTCTCTAAGATTTCCTTTTTGTTTTTTAAACATTCAAACTATGGGGTAGTTTGTCAATAATAAAACCAATTTTAAATTGTTCATTTAAACACATATCTTTTGTGATGATCTTTTAAGCAATCTTTTGAAGTTCGTAATATTGAGTCTTCATCAACCTTACATCTTTGCATTTGATACTTGAAGTAGCGGCTAACAACATAATTCTTTGCTTCAGCTTCTACATCATACTTCTTTTTGAGTCTCTCAATCTTGTTTTGCAGTATCACATCAACTGTAATTATCATACATATCATCTGCGAGTCTATTCAAAATATGATTTTGTAGAGATTTTCATTCTCTTTCTATAAGGTGATTTCTTTACTATGCTATAAATCATCCGCTTTATTCTGTGCAGCAGATTCAACTTCAACACTATTAAGTGTTCCTTCTAAATCTCTAGATTTACTACCGTTAGTTTGTTTGATTGTTCCAGAAGGAGCAACAGAATGACATCGATCAGAACATTAGCAACTTTTTTCAACGTTAAGAACTTCATCTTTTGTTGCCAATGTTTGAAGTGACTTCTCTCAAACATGAACGATTTCTCAAAGACAATATCCGCAAAAGAACCAATAATTTCTTCGGTAGCCATAGCAGTTTGAAACGTCTTAAAATTATTGGTTTCGGATTTTAAAATATTTGCCACCGAAGAAATTACCAGGTTGAGTCGCGGACTAGGCCGCTCTCTTTAAGACGT